TTAGTATAACTACGACTCTCTAAATCCAACTCATAGCGATACCCTAAACCTAACCTAAGAGCGAAATGTTTTTTTTTTTTAGCGAAATTTTTTAATGGGATCACATAATAGCGAAATTTTTTAGACTGGCATTGCTAGTCTCATATATTCGAACACTAACCTTAACCATAATGCAGGCCATGCTGTGTCGTTAAGGTCATTTGCTGTGTCGATAAGCTGTGTCAGTAGCAATCCCCTGAGAAATTTGTCTGTCCACGCACGTGACTAATCATAAAAATGATTGGACAATTTTTTTAATTCGCTGTTTTCCTAGTGTACATTGTTTTTAACATGTGTATTTCCTGACTACGTATTGAATAACACCCTTATTTCCCGCCGCTGCGGGAAATAAATAGTACTTATTTACAAAAAAGATGAAATTTGGTTGTCTTTATAAAGTGGCATTTTGCTATAAAAGCGAATTTATGTAAATTTATTATAGCATTTCCGATATACTGTAAAAATTATATGAAATGATGAAATCGCGCAAAGATGATAACTTTCTTGATGCAGATCTATCCTTAATTAGGGTTAGTCACTATTTTAGGTAGGATGGTTTCACCCTGTCGTAAAATTATTAGTCCTAAAAAAAAATAAAATGAAAGTTACTGACCCAATAATCCAAAACAAAAAAGTTCAAAATCCCTCTCGATAAGCTGAACATTAAAGGAAAAGGTAATAGAAAATAATTGTATACCTAATACTGTTTTTTCTGTTAGAAATTTTTGACTTTGTCTAATTGATCATAATGCGATTGTTTTTAATTATTTACAGTATAATCTTTACTCTTGTATTCAATTTATTTGATTAATTGGTCAATGATCACATGCCATCCTATGAAGTGTATAAATAAGTTACCTCGAACCTGTGAATTTTTTTCCGACTATCTAATCACACTTTCGGGAAATGAAAATGAATTCAGTAGTAGTGGTCGTGGACAAGTACTATTCTTGTTTTCCTGCTATTGATTAGCAACTTTAATCACTAACGTTGTAAAAATTCGTACAGAGTATAAACAAAGATTATCACTAAAAAGTATAATTCAAAATCTCATGAAAAGTGAGGAGACGAAGGTATTTAAATATTACTTGAAAATATAGTGAATGAATTATAACTAGCAATTCATTATTTTCAGGCCATTAATCAAATAGAAGAAGAGCTTAAACTTGCGAAAGAAAGATTTTCAAGGATGATTTAGATTTAGATATTGTAGAAATAGATTTACCGCCATTAAAGCCAAACAACGGGAGAAAGTTCTTGAAGCTATTCACAACATTTTCCAAGCTGAAAGGATTGATGATAAACTGTTCATTAAAGTGAGCATTTTTGTCCTACGATTAACTTTTATTTGCTGATCTTTGTACTATACACTCAGTTTAATGAAAGAAGACATACATCTCGCATTGAATGATTCGCTTCGCCAACAACTTCTAGATTGGTGCGAAATGATGTGGCATCGGTTGTTAAATATAATGAATTTAAACCTGACGTAGGAGGATGGAACGCGCGACCAACGCGTCAGCAAAGGATTGCACCTATTATTAATTCATCTCCACCTCCTTTATTATGGATCGAGGTAATAATTGCTTCTGGAAATGTTTAATCGTTTCTTAACGACCTTTTAAAATATTGAATATTGCAGGTGTCATTCAACAAGACTAATGATCGTGATTACTCATTAAATGTCACGGCTGATTCTGATGTTGAAGTTCACGTGACGATCGGCCAATAGTAGAAAATTCAAAACAAACGTTAAGGTTTCCTTTGTAATTTATTATATAGCTTACTGACCTCTAACATTAATTTAAACGCTAACCCTAACATAAATGAACTTGTATATGACACCAAATTTTTTATATGTCACGTGAACGTCAGCATCAGCCGTGACATTTCATATGTTCAACCATACTGTCCAAACACCGAATTTGTATTAATTATTATTCCTTTTGGATCATCACCCTTTCAAATCTTGGCGTTGATTCAGTTGTAGCTACTGCACCAATGACAAGTCGTCCCTCAAGAGCGCCCTATTTTGGTTATTGGGCCGTAGGCGCAGGCTTTAATGTAGTGCAATGGTACGAAATGCAATGGAATGAACATATTATTCTTGGTTGTGGGGCGTACATCTATTTTAATGATGTACTTACCTGCTTGTTATAAATATTTGATATTTCATTTCAATATTAATTAGTTTAGATATCTTATCGTATAACCCCAATGCTCAATATGAAATTTATATCAATTATGTTGCTATTAGCAAAAAAGAAATTTGGATTATGAAATTCAGAAATAAAAGCCTATTTTTTTATATCGAAACTACATAAAAAAATTGACAGAACCTGACCCAGTATACAGTAAATAAATATCTAATTCCTGCATCTTGTAGCATTTAAAAAAACAAATTATAAGTAGCAAATAATGGAAATTTGGTTACCTATAGCGGATTTGAATAAATGATATCTAATCTTGGGCGTATCAAGAACGATAAATAGATTTTAAAAGGAAATGATTGCAAAAGAAGTGGTTATATACAGATTGATTTAAGCATTAATAGTATTCATATATCAACTTGCGTCCATATCTTAGTTGCACAAGCCTCCATCTCTAACCCAGTAAATAAGGAAGAATGGAAAGAAATAGAGAAAATTTAGATTTTCATCCTTATGCAGAGTTCAGCTTCTAAATGGCGTAATCACTCAAGGACCTTTGTATGCTGGATATTATCGAATTGGTCACATTCACAAATATCGTGTTCATCGTTTGATGGCTTTAGCATTCTGTTCAAAAGAAGAAGGCAAAGAATTTGTAAACCACATTGTTGGCGATTCCACCAATAAAAAGCATCTAATCTCGAATGGTGTACAATGTACAACATGCGGTACATCTCAGGCCTCGGGATGGTTGGATGCTGTCAAGCAGATTATTGATGTTTTTTTCGAGAATTTCCATCAGTACAACGCATAACTGGAATTTCTCAATCAAGTATTGTGCTGGTGGGTATCAATGTGACGGTCAGTGAAAACCTGTAAATCGATTCACTATCAAGAAACGACCCCTGATGAATCTGACCGTAAAAATAAATTAAATGTGATAAATACACACGTCTTATCTTGATCAATAAAGCAGAGCGCTTCTATTAACCAATTGCTAAGTTGAAAATAATAACATATTATGTAATAAATGTGTTACTGAATAATCAAATTCGATCGTATTTCATCATATTTCATCAGGGTCGTTTCTGGTTAGTGAATCTATTTACAGACCATCATTCATGAACATGGTAAACCTTGAATAGTTTGATTATTTAAGTGTTATCTAATTAAAAGCATATTAAGAATTATTTATTTTTATAACTTTGCAATACAATATATAGTTTTCTATAAAAAACTTTTTCTGACAATCATTCAGATATAAAAACAGTTAAAGAAAAAGGAAATTTTTATAAAATTGACAATTTGATGTTCTGTACGTAGATTTGTTTACATTACACAAAAGATATGTACAGATTGTTAAATTAGGATAGATAAACAAACCAATATAACAAACAAGCAAAATACTGTATATAGAAAAGTAAAAAATAACAAAAAATTTTAGAAATTGAACAAAAAATATATAAATATAAATAGAAAATGACATTATTAGAGAAATATAAAGAAAGTTTATTAATAATATTTAAAAAGAACATAATAGGCAATAAATAATATATATAATAAAATATTATTTAATTAGTTAAATAAAATATATATAATATTAAACAGAAAAGATAAAATTATTGTTATATTCATTGAACAAAATTCAATTAAAAGAGTAAACAAATTTTTTTTAAACTTTTATTATTATTTTTTTTTTAAAAAATAGACAAAACAAGAACAGTACTAATTAGTTAAAACTAATTTAAAAAACCTGTTTTAATATTTTAAGAAAAAAAAAACAAAAAACAATATAAAATTTACTAAAACCTGTTTTTTTCTTAATTATAATTTAAAGTATAAAAAATTTAGTTTTTTTTTGCCTAAAACTTTTAGAAAAATTGTAAATTTGTTGAAAATTTTATACAATTAATCAAATTAAATTGTACAAAATATGTAAACAACAAAGTAAATAAACAATAATATATGTTATTTTTTTAGTAAATAAACAATAAATTAAAAATAAGTAACAAAATCATATAACAAAAATAACAACAAAAAAAGTTTTTTAAAAGTTTAGAATAGTAATAGTAGTTACAACAAGTAAATACTAGTTAATTATCAATTTAAACTTAGATCTTGAGATTAAAATGATTATATAAGTTTATTTAAAAAATAAAAGAAATAATTTTAGTTATTTAGATAGCAATAAATATAATATTATATATAAACAAATAGTATACAATATAACAATTAATAATTTAAATAAAATTACAAAATAAGATTTGTTAATTTATGATCAAGTACTTGAAGTTTTAAAGCAAATTAAAACTAGAAATCTTGAAAAATATTAATTAAAAAATGAACAATAAAAGCAAAAATAATAAAATATAACTTTAGACTTAATCAACTATATAATTAATATAATCAATACAGAAAAAAAGTTAAATAATAAGATTTAGTAAACAGAACTAAAAAAATAAAAACAATAAGAAACAACAAATAAAATAACTAAAAAAAAATATTAAAATATTATTAATAATATAGAAGATATTATTATAATAGAAACTAGCTTATTAAATCAAAACTATTTATTATTAAATTTGGAAAAATTAATAATTAAAATTAAAGTGTGATGACTTAGTAAAGTGAATAAGTTGTCAATCTTTTAAATAGTAGGTTAGAAGTTCAAAACTCACTAATAACATAAATTTGGAAAACTACTTATATAATTTTAGTATTATGAAAGATAAGCAGTATTACAACAATAGCAATCTATTAATCAGTTGGAATAAAATATTTGTAAATATAGCTATACTAGCATGACTAACATGTTATAGGATATCTGTGTAATGTTAAAGTTATACAAAAGAATGCAAACTAACATTAGATGATATAAACTTAAAATAAGTTCTTGTGATTATGTAAATTTATAAAACTAGAAAGCTGAAGCCTACTTGAAAAAACCTGAGTAGAGAGGTAGCATAGATCTTTGATAGTATTACTATAAAGACTAGATCTAGAAAATAAATATCAATATAGAAAGAATCAGATAAGTAAAAACTTCAAATAAGAGATATTACCAATCAAACTGTTAGAAGTTTTAAACCAGAAAAAAAAAATCTTAAGAAGACAGATCCTTGAGATATCAGGAACAGATTAAGTCCTTTCAAACCATCTATATTAGATGTTTAAAAACTAAAACAGAGTATAGCTAAATATTAGAAATATGCTATAAAGTTAATACTAGAGTTTGGATAAACTTCATAAAACTGAGCTCTGTTAACAAAGATTAAATATTGGTAGTTAGTTAGTAGAAAGGTCTTTTTGAGTTCTACAATTAGATGACATACTCTGAAATATGTAATGGCCTAATGAATATACAGACAGAGAAGTTAAAGTTAGGTTAGATAACACTTCAGTATACAGAAACTTGTATATTATCTACTAGTATAATATAAGATTACCTTGTACAAGTTATATAATTATAATTAAATTTACAATAAAGACAGTAGCCACTAATAACTAACAGTCTTAGCAAAACTAAAAAAAAATAAAAAAATAATTAAAATTAAAAAAATTGAAAACAAGAAACAGAATACTAAAATAAATTCAAATACAAAGCTTATAAAATTAAATTAAAATATGCAATAAGAAAAAAAAAATTAAAAATTAAGAAAAAATATAAATAAATAAATTTTTTTAGTCTTATTAGAAAATAGTCTTTGATTATTACAAAATAAATTATATAACAAAAATAACTTATTTTAAAGCAAAAATTTTAATATATAAAATGTTAAAAAAAAATAAAAAAAATAAAATTAATTATATAAAGTAGGTACTTAGAAATAACAAATATATTAAAGCAATAGAAAAAAGTTTTTAGAATATGGTGCAGGAAGTCTTTATCCAACAATCACATGATATGTTTTAATTTTTTAATGATAATTATTTTTCATATGATTATAAAACTGACCAATAAAATGATTGATTAATTATCAATTGTTTTATACAATATATAGTAAATAATACAATATACCCTTTTACTTTTGTAGTAAAAGTTACAAAAAAGTTTTTACAAAACTTAACTACTAATTATAAACCAATCTAGTATTGTTTTTTCTTGTACAAATATTCATTGATTAATCATACTTAAGAAAATATATAAAAGTATAATCATAACTTAGAAGGCATCTAAGCATAAAGATATTTTTTTTTGCAACAAAGTAACAACTAATTGGATAGATCAGTTTTTAATAATACTATTTTAATTACATTGTTCTAATTATAGATGTTAATAAGTTTTTAATAAAATGATATACTTTGAAGCCATTTTAGATTAAACTCAGCCCACATTAAAGTATGTTTTAAAATATACTTGTAGATTTGGAACAATTTGAAGCAACCCAAAGCAGGTCTGGAGGAATCTAGAATAAAACCTGAAGCAAGATTAATTTAATAAAGATAGGTTAAAGATTGGACTAACCCGACTTACAGCACTATGAATTATGTTAGTAAAACAAGTATTAATGAAAAAAAAATAAACAGGAAACCATATATAATTATTTTTTATTTTAATTATGATTGATCTATTATTTTCTCTATATTTTCAGGCAGTTGATAATGTAATTTGAATTTATTATCAGCCCACTTAGCTATTCTATCTTCTAACTTCTTGAAATAAGCATCTATATACCTCCATAATTTTTAAACAAATTTATAAATAGTTGATGTTAGAACATTATTGAGAATTTTAGAAATTTGCTTTAGCAAGTTTTTATAATTATAATTGTATAATATTCTAAGTTTTTGTTTTATGAAACCCCAATATCACTTAATAAAGTTACATTTACAATAGAATTTAAAGTATCATTCAAAAATATATTCTTTTTTACCAATAGCTTCTTCTAATACTGACTGTTGTTCACAGAAATCTGGCTGTAATAATATAATTTGTAATGCACAGCAGTCTAGTTCTTCAAAATCATTATCATTTTTTCTAGAACATCACTTATACACTAAATTTATATTACTGGCAGGCTAGATATTATGTTCTTTAAGCATTTGCTAAATGTCTTTTTGTTTTCTTTTTAACTCTGATACTGAATAGTTATTCAGGAATATCATTTTTTGATTATGTCTTTTTTATACTTATCGATATACTAACCATCTTACATCTTAGGCTGTTTTTTCTGAGGCCTTTGTTTATTCTTGTTGCAACCAATGCATCTTTTGCTATGGTGTTATAGTTTGTCGATTGATCAAAGCAGAAGACTCCTATACATTCAGGATGCAACACCTCAAATATAGGTATTGCCTTTTCTAAAAGCTATGTTTATAAATAATAATTAAAACAATTAATAAAGATAAGTAATATGCTTATATAGGTTAGTAATAACTGTGGCAGATTAAATAAAATTAGATTAAAATAAAATTTATATAACATAAAATAGACAAGTTATCAAAATTTACAATTTTTTGAGATGCATTTTTTAACTTTTTTTAGAATTAAAAGTTAGTTTTAAGGTAGAATTTATAATAAATAAATATAAGTTGATTTTAGGTAGTTAAATAGAAACTCCAAATTTTATTTAACTTAATTTCATTATAATCTGTAATATGTATAAATAAAAAATAAAAAAAGTTTAAACTGTTCTAATATGTGTTCTAATCTCTAATATCCATTCTCTTGTACAAAACATATAATAAAAATTTTTTTATATTTAATATATAGATTTGCATAGAAATGCATAGAAATGCTCTTTTGATAGCTGCAACAACCTATAGCATGAGTATATAAAAGCTAAAACCATTATAGAATGCCCTATATGTTTTGGACATAAAACATTCTTATTTTTTCTAGTTCAAATTCTATACTGCCTATTATTTATATAAAAGTGATATTCATTATAAGTTATCTGTACCAACTCTTTTTATCAGGCTTAAGTTCAGAATCTATAACTATCTCTAGCATGTTACCAACAAAGTCTTTCATATATATTTTGTGTTTAAACATTCTTTTTAACTACTTTCTTCTATACTCTACTATGTTTGATCACTTGTAATCATTATAGTATATATCCTTTTTTCTCTTATTATATTTGTATCCCAATATATACATATATATTTGATATATTTTTTCAGAAATTGTATCTTTTGTATATTCTATTTGTGGTAACAATGTTTTTTCAATATATGTCTTAAGGGCTTTAGAAAAGTGTGATTCTGAAAATTGTTGTCACAACCATTCTTGATATTCATTTAAGAAGACTTTATTATCAAGCAAGTTTGTGACTTTTTTATGTTTTTCTTGTTTATAAGAAAAGAGTTCTTCAGCTTCTATATAACAATCTTCACATTTTTGAATACATCTTGCTATATAATCACCTTTATTCCATACTGTTTATATGATCTAAAAGTTGCATTTATTTTACTTTGCCTATCTAGTAACAACTGTATATACTGGCTTATATTTAATAAACACAAGTAATCATACATAGGCATATTGCTTTTGAATAATTTTTTTATTAAGTATTGTTGATTAACTTTTTCTAAATACATGTGTAGGGTTGCTATCAGGTCAATAGGTAGTAAAGAGCTTTGTATAATTGCAGAAGATAGTTGTAATAATAATGTATTACTTGATGTTTTAGTTGAAGCACTGTAATAAAATTTACTAAAAACTAGTAAGCTATAGTAATTTTTAATAATATGAGTGCTAAGTAGAAGATCTTTTATTTAAAGAAAAATAAAATAAATAAAAATAAATAAAAATAAAAAATAAATAGAATTTAAATTCAATAGCCTTCTAGGCACTATAAGGTACAACAATAGAACTAGTTTTTAACTAATTCTACTGTTCAGTTTGTGCAGATCAGGCATAACAAAATGTTTACTCTGTACAAGGATTATTAGACTTTAAAACTTAAAAATGTCTGTAAAGTATAATCTGAGAAAGAAAAGCCTTAATAATCAGACCATTTACAGTTATATGTGGCTTTTAAATTTCAATAATATAAAGCTAGTATTTGCCAAATAACTAATTAAAAAAACAGCTATTTATTTTATACTATTACAAGAAAAAGAAAAAGA